CTTTATGTGTTATCTGGGTGTATTCAGCATCTCACGAAAGGTCCCTCCTTTGAGCCAATATGAGTTGGGGAGTTGCTGTGGTTTTGAATTCCTTTTTTTTCTTTTCCAGTTTACCCCATCTTACCCTAGGCTATTGAACCTTACCTCTCTCATAACAGCAAAAATATCAACAAGTAAGTTATACCAACCACATGCCAGATAATGTTCTAAGCTTTCTATAAATATTAACTCGTTTAATTCCCACAAAATTCCTCTCAGGTGAATGCGCTCCATTGTCTCTGTTTCATGGATGACGAAACTGAGGCACAGAGCGTTTAACTCCCACAGCAGGTGAGTAGAGCTGCTGAGATCTGAATACGGGCTGTCTGGCTTTGGAGGCCAGAGCAGCTGAGAGTCTACCCTGATAGGCTGTCCTTGCTTTACATGGTAGATGAGGCCAATCCAGATGCCACCAGCAAGTCAGCAAAAGGGCAAGGGCAAGCACGTGCTGCCCCAGTAAAACTGTGGAACCCAGACTGGGACTCGAACCCGGCCACAACCCAGACTGGGACTTGAACCCACAGTCTTTATTTTTGAATTTTATTTTATTTATTTTTTTATACAGCAGGTTCTTATTAGTTATCCATTTTATACCTATCAGTGTATATATGTCAATCCCAATCCCCCAATTCATCCCACCACCACCACCCGCCCCTGCCACTTTCCCCCCTTGGTATCCATATGTTTGTTCTCTACATCTGTGTCTCTATTTCTGCTCTGCAAACTGGTTCATCTGTACCATTTTTCTAGGTTCCACATATATGCGTTAATATATGATATTTGTTTTTATCTTTCTTACTTCACTCTGTATGACAGTCTCTAGATCCATCCATGTCTCTACAAGTGACCCAATTTCATTCCTTTTAATGGCTGAGTAATATTCCATTGTATATATGTACCCATCTTCTTTATCCATTCGTCTGTCGATGGGCATTTAGGTTGCTTCCATGACCTGGCTAATGTAAATAGTGCTGCAATGAACACTGGGGTGCATGTGTCTTTTTGAGTTATGGTTTTCTCTGGGTATATGCCCAGGAGTGGGATTTCTGGGTCATATCGTAATTCTATTTTTAGTTTCTAAAGGAACCTCCAGACTGTTCTCCACGGTGTCCATTTCCATTTCCATTCTCACCAGCAGTGCTAGAGGAACCCGTGGCCTTTTAACTGAGATGACACACCTGGTCTCAGGACTCAATGAAGCTCAGGTTCTTGATGTCTCGTTGCAGAAAGAATTCAGTGAGAAACAAAGTGGTAGGTAAGAAGTGGATTTATTTAGAGAGAAACACACTCCACAGACAGAGTGTGGGCCACCTCAGAAGGCGAGAGGCCCCGAAATATGGCGTGGTTAGTTTTTATGGGCTGGGTAATTTCGTAGGCTAATGAGGGGGAGGATTATTCCACCTGTTTTGGGGAAGGGGCGGGGATTTACAGGAATTGGGCCACTGCCCACTTTTTGGTCTTTGAACTTGGCCTCGGAACTATCATGGCGCTGGTTGGTGTGTCACTTAGCTTATGTTAATGCATTACAATGAACGTATAATGAGGTTCAAGGTCCACTGGAAGTCAGATCTTCTGCCACCTTGGATCTCATTGGTTCTAACCAGTTTTGGTCACGTTCTATGGCTATGTCGTTCTTTTAATGGTTGCCCCCTTCCCTCATGTTTCACCAGTACCTGAAGAAGTTCAGGCCTTAGGATGAGAGCAACTCCCAAGAGACAGACATCTCCAGGGAGGAAGACTATGCCTGTCCCATTGTGGTCTAGTCATTGTCTCCAGGCCCACTCAGTCATAGCCACATGCTTTCCCCTTGGGGCCGGGTGACTCTGGCCCATGCTAAGAGGAAGAGTTGTGCTCAGGCTAGCGGAGCAGAGTCTACGGTCCCACACTATGGCTGAGAGTAAACAACAAACTTCACATCAACATATCTTACATTAGCATTTGTTGTTGTTCCATCAACAACCAGAAAAAGCTTAGCCTACGCTGCCACTGTGCTTTTTGTCAGTTCCTTCTTGAATTTCTAGTAGCATTTGCTGTATACATTTTCATGTCATGCTTCCTGGTCTCTTGCTATGTTAAAGTTAAAAGAAGATAACAATTCTTGGAATCATTATACGTTATACAGTGGGAGTCCTGTCTCTTATATCAAAGGGATACGAAGCAGAGGCAAGGTGATCTCTTCCCCCTACCTAGTGTTATCAGCACTGTGGCCTACACCCCGAGTCATTTCTGGGAATACCGTACCCAGAATCGTGTGCTACGGGCCCAGCGGTTCAGCGTTAATTAAAAAAAAAAAAATGCAAATCTCAGCTTTGAAAGCAATAGCCTCCTTTGGAATTTAAAAGAGTTCTAGGTTGTTTAAACATTGAGTGGGATTCCTGAGCCTGTTAACCGGTCACAGTCTACTAGCTCTCATAATTAGCACAAGACCACTGTACTGTGCAAACGACACTCAGTATTCAACAATGACTAACTGCTCCATTTCAGACTGCTTACTTAAGAGTGGGGGGTTTGCATCCACAATCGATGTTTCTGGGTAGTTACCTATTTAACACCGAGAGACAAGAGAGATGATGAGGGCCCAAATCACCCACTCCTCTATCCCTTCACAAAACCCTGCCCATTCCACCCCTCCACCCCCCCCCCCCCCCACCAAATCCCAGCATTGTGGGTGACTCAATTCCAAGTCTTATTTGGCTACTGAGCTGTGTGACCTTGGGAAAGTCACTTCCCTACTCTGAGCTTCAGTTTCCTTATCTGCAGACTCTGGGGGCTGAATTGGGTGATGCCAAAGGTCCCTTCCATCTCTAAGATGTAGTGACTGGGGGAGAGGATCTAAGATGTAGTCACTGGGGGAGAGGATGAAATGCCTCCTTCTCTGTTCAAACGCAGACATATTTATTACTTACTGAAAACCACAGCACGGCAGACTCCAAGCAGACCATGGTAAGTGTCCCAGCCTCTTGTAGCTGTCCATATTCTACCTTTTATTGCCATGGACAAATGCAAGAAGAATGATTAAAGATATCTGCAGAGCAGCGTTTTAGAAAAATGGGCAGAGGGCAGCAACACAGTTAAATATATGTGTGCGTGCAGCTGTAATGGTCACGTTTACTACACTTTTATTTTTTAGGGAGACTATTAAAAATGTATTTGTTTGGAGATAATACCAAAATGAGCCACATGTTGTGGACGATGCGTGAACACCAAGGAGAGGGCCTTGCTTACCTCTGAGGGGTGTGGAAAGTCGGAGAATGCAAAGAGCTTGGTGGGAGCAGGGGTACAGTGATGCTGGGGGCTATGTAAAGATGCGCCACCACAGACAGAACTGCCAGTGGGGAGCGGCTCCTAAAAGGGGATCGTTCTGTAGCAGAAACATTGAAGGTGGATTTTTACCTTGCTTGAGGAGTGCAATAAGCCTCCTCTTCCACTTACCCTAACAAATCTTCAGTCAGGTAGACCGTGTATTTATTAAGTGCACATGGGTCTTTGAGGGTGTTGCCGGTTGGGAGTATGTGGAAGAGAGCCTGAGCTCTCATTTGACTGATGCTGGGGAAATCAGGGGCAGCTACTTGGATGGGGGTGGTCCCAGCTGGTACCTGAGTTGCTCTCTCTCTCCCTCTCGTTATCTGTCTGGAGCTGGCCATCGTGATGCCGGATGCACACATGCCTTAAGTCTTCACCTGAAGTGTCTTTCTTTTCCACCTCTCCACATTCTGCTCATTTCTTCACGGCCTAGTTTGTGCTTTCTTGATCACTCCACCCTCTCTCTGGCCTCATTCATTCACCAGTGACCACAAGGTGCCCCAGGCAGCTGTGTGCTTCTTGAGTGCAAATACCTTAGAAGTCCAGGGAGGGCAGAGCCCCTGTGGCTCTCTTTCCACGGTCTGGCCAATGCCTAGCTTTGTGCCAGGCACACAACAGACATTCAGTTTCGTGGAATCGATAAACAAATGAATATTAAGCACGTGTTAGTCAAATCAGTAGTGTCAAATACTCTCCGGAAGACAATGCTTATGCGAAAATATACCCCAAGCATTTTTTCTCTACCCATCCCTCCAAATGCTGCTTCGTAAGGATTTCAGACAGTCCGATGTTTTTGCAAACATGTCTACATTTAGGGGCCATCTTGCCGTTTGTGGCTCTCACTGGGATGTGTTCACTCTTCCATGGAACCTGCACAGGGCACCCACTAGGGTGCCAGTCTTCTTCCTAAGAGCCAGCCTACCGTCTGGCAGAGAAACAATCCCTCCAAGCTCCCTACAGCCTAACTTTACCAGGATATGCCGACAAAAGCATTGAGAGAATCTTTTAAACGCTCAGGTGGTCGTATAAGCCTCCTGCAAGAACTTCAGGTGATAACCAATGACAGCCACAGCGCAAGAAGGAAAGCAGAGCTGAGAGCCTTTCTCAAAGCCAAATCATCCACAAATTCCCGGGCCGGCTGCCTCTGCCAGGGTGTTTGCTGAGTGCGCTCGTCAGCTGTCCGTGGCCGTGGCCTTGGAGGTGCCCGTGGCCTTGGGCGTCTCTAGCCGCGGGAGCCGAGCGGCACGGCCCTGGCATGCTAAGTGGGCAGCACTGGGGCGCCTTTGTTTCTCTCCGTCTCCGAGACCCGCGTCCCTCTGCATCTTAAGAGGTTGCCCCCCCACCTTCTCCGCCCCGGCCCTCTGGCCTGGGGACAGCGCCCCTCCGTGATGCGTCCCGGACACCCGGGGGTGGGAGAGACCCGGACCCAGCGACAAGGGAGGGGGCGTGTCTCCGGCTCGAGCCTGGGCACCTGCGCGGGCCCGAGGGGGCGGCCCCAGACTCGGGGGTCGCCCCACCCGCCCGCGGCCCCAAGTCTCGCGGTGCTGCGGCCTGGCCGGGGGAGCCGCGGCCCGGCACCCCCCGCCGCGTGACAAAGGCTGAAGCGGGAGGAGGAGGCCGAGTAGGGGGCGGAGGCGATAAAGGCGGGGGCGGCGGGCGGCCGCGGCGGCGGGAGAGCGCGGAGGCAGCGCCCGCCCGCGCCGTCCTTTGTGTGGCAGTGGTAGCGGTGGCGGCGGCGGCGCCTGGGCCTGCGCTGGCCTCGCCTGCCCCGGGTGGGGCGCCCGGCTCCGCGCCGCCCCTCCTCGTCCCCGCCCGGCGCGCGCCGAGCACTCCGAGCAAGATGGCAACCCCGGCGGCGGTCAACCCTCCGGGTGAGTAGCGGCCGCGGGCCCCATGGCAGCCCGCAGGCCCTGCCCGGGGCCGGAGTGGGCCGGAGGGACTGAGTGCGCCGAGCGCCCCCGGGAGCGCGGAGCCGGGCGCTCGACACCCCCTGGGGCAGGGTGGGGGGAGCGGCTGTCATTCTGCGCGGCAGCCTCAGCATCAGCACCAGCCGCGGCATCTTCATCCCAATCTCTGCCCCATCCCGGTTTCCAGGACGCGCCAGCTCCTACCTGCGGGCGGCGGACGCTGCCTCGCATCCCTGGGAACCAGAAGGGCCAGTCCACGAACCACTTAAGTTGCGAAAATACCCAGCTTTGCCTCCCCCATCCGACGCCTTTTTCTCTTTCTGTTGCGGCCCCTGTGGCATCAGGCGTCTGCCGGTCGGGGCGGGTAGGAGGGTACCGCGTTGACCGAGGGAAAAGTTTGGACCCAGGATTCAACAGGGTGGAACTCCCCGGATGCTCCCCTGCCCGCCCCGCTCCCCAAGCGCTGGTCCTTTGAGCCCTTCGCGACTAGCTACTATGTATCCTGATCTTCAATGGACACAGACACACACAGTCTGTAGAAACGCAGCGTGGAGAAGCCCAGGCCGGTTCAACATCCTCTGCTTTTTCTAAGGCTGACCTGTTCTCAGGGTGCCGTCTATGACAACTGTGCTCAATGGGCAGATTTCAAAAAATGGGAAGAGTTCATGGTCAGGTGGGAATATTGACCTGCTTTGGAATTGCAGCAGGGAAATTCTATTTTAGTTGGGAAAATGCCCTACCTTGTGAATAGGACAGCCTGAAGGGTGTCCGAGAATGGAAAGGGGGACACCTAGACAGACTGCTACAAAGTTTTGGGTGCTGTGCAGTGACTGCTCTGGCCATGACATGGTGTTAGATCCCTGTGGAGGATGCAGGGAGAGTAAGAGAGAGGCCAGCGGTCAGGCAGTTCCCCGTAGAGGGAGGTCGTGGGGTGGGTGGGAGGGTGAACACCCACAATGCCTAGCAAAGAAAAAAAAATGTGTCATACGAGTTAGAAGTGAAGGCTTCCTTCCATCTAAAGTGGTAAGGGAAAGGCTTTTGGAGGTTGGACACTTTAAAACTGGAGTTTGAAGAACTGGGAGGTTTGAATACACAGAGCCCGGCGCTGAAGCGACTTGCAGGTACAAGGGATGGCGTGAGCTATGGTGGACTTACTCTGAGCATGTGTAGATGCCAGTGGGTGGTTGGAGCATTAGGGGTATAAGGGAGCAGCGGAATATCACACAGACTGGTTTGGCATTGGCCAGGCTTTAGAGGGCTTTGAAGGACAGGCTAAGGAGTATGGGCTCTTGCCCTACACGTTATGAGAGAGTTCTCTGTGGTATTGAATAGGGTAGCCACATGGTCACAGTACTTGTGGAAGATTAATTTGTCAGCTAAGTTGAGGTACCATGGAAAGGAGGCAGCAAGACTGGAGGCGGGGAGGCGGGGTCAAAATGAGGCAGGTGCTGGGGAGGTGAGACTTAGCGGCACTGGCTTGGAACAGAAAGAGGAAGGACAGCACCATTGGGCAGGTGGAGGAGCTCAGACTTGCACTGCTTAGATTGGGGGTAAGGGTAAAGGGAGTGGCCTAGGAGGCACTGAGGTGGGGTGTCCATGGAGACACCGAGGTGAAGAGCCTCAGTAGTTCCAAGGACGGAGGTTGCATGAGCAAAGTAGGGAGTCTTGGAAGAACAGATGAGTTCCCTGTCCAGACGCTGTTTGAAAACAGCTGTGCCAGTTTGCTTGCGACCGAAGCCTGCCATTTCAACCTGTTCAGCTGCTTAAAAATCAATAGCAACTTGATCGATTTAAATGTTATGACGTTAGAAAAAGCGAAGGAAGTTAAATGAGGATATTTTAGTCCAACGTAGGTTTATGTTGGAAATAGGAATAAAATCAGAGGCAATGTACATTTTATATATATATATATATATATATATATATATATATATATATATATATGTTTACACATATACACATATACGTACATACCATTACATCTCCGTTTAAGGCGTTTTGTCCATAACATTGTTCCGTGAGCTTAATGGAATAAATACGGGGCAGCTGCTGGGCTTGGCGGTGCTGAGCACACAAATGTCTGTACCTTGGACTGTGGGACACTTGAATCAAGCAAGTGCAGGGCATTGTTTTTATTATTTGCAAAATAATAAAATAATTTGGCTTGCTTGATGGACAGTGATGTCTGTGTCTTTTCTCTGTTCGCAGAGATACCAGAGATCTTGAGCATGGTGAGACCTTCTCAAGGGAAAACTCCTTGAGGGGGTCGCCTTTTCTCTTACCCACCCGTCTTTTCTTTGAGTGGCCCTCCGCGGTAACCCTCAGATCTGTGGGGCAGGTTGTTCTCTCACCGTGTGAATCGCAAACCTGTCTGGGGAAAGGGTGTAGTTTCAAGGGATACAGCTAAAGGTTAGAGCCCAGAGAGAGGTTTCAGACTTTTCCTGGCAATTTACCACCAAGAGAGGCAAGGTGCCCGAGCTGGACACCCAGAGTCCACCTCTCAGAGGCATGAGTCATGTGATGCTTGGTTGAATGCCTCCTCCTCTTTCTCCCACCTCCCCCCCTCTCCCCAGATGCTGTTGCTTTGCAAAGAATAAGAGCTCAGTGAACACAGGCAAATGCACTGGGAGGCACCGAGGTTTATTTCTGCTGCTAATCTGTGTCCAGGGTACGAAGGTGACAGGCCATCACTTCCCCACCCCTACCCACTTGTTCCTTTCTCTGCAGCTGACCACTGCACACCAGCAGACCCATTTGCAATGATGCTTGTCTGTGATGTACGGCAGGGGCACTCTGGGGTCTAGGTAATGACAGGTGAAGTTGGAATCTTCCTGCTCTCATGTATTCAGGTGATCTGAGCCAGGTTCAAACCTCTAACCTGCCCCTTCTAGGTCCCCTGTTTGGGTTTGCAGATTCTACCAGTTACTCTGGGGGAGGAGTGGTCTTTGGAGAAGGAAGGGTTTGTCTTCTGGACGTTCTTCTCATGGCATCTGCCGCAGTACTCCTGGTCTGGTTCCCCTCTCCTGGGGCCTCTGACCCCTCCCTATTTCTAGGTCATTGCAGCCCCTACCTTCGTTGCTAATATTATGGTAGTGGCTGATTTTCTCTATTCTTTCTAGATAGGAAGAACTTATGTCCTCTAGACTAGAGAATGGAACTCTAGAATCTTCTGTTCCGTATATATGTACTATTTGTTTCACTTCCTTTGGGTGATTTTTAAGCATTTCTGATTTGTATTTAATAATGAAGGTTTGAATTAGTTTCATGCATGAAAGGGTACGTGCAGCTGAAATGGCACAGTTCGGAAGGGGACCGTTTTTCCAACTCCATTGTTTCCACCTTAATCTTGTGTAACTTAAGCATGAGGGACTCAGGTTCAAATTCAGACCAGTGATCATTAGGAATTACGCATTATCGGAGCACACTCCGAAATGAGTATTTGCAGAGTGTTAATAAGGCTTGCACATTTTTAAACTTCAGAGGTATGTTTTAAGAGATTTAGAATTTCTACTTTTTTCTGAAATCAACTATTAGATTTTTTTTCCCCTCCAGGTTTCTGGTCTCTGGCATTTTAGTTTGGAATTGATTGTATAGTGCAGAAGATTCTTGGCAAAAATTGCCTTAGATGGAGGGATATTCGGGTCGGTTCAGCAAACATATTGAACACCTTTGACCTTCCAAACACTGTGCAGGGCGGAGGGCAATGTGAACACCCCTTCCTCAACCTCTGGGAGTTCTGAGTCTAATAGGGGAGACGTCAAGACCAGGTTTATAACAAAAGGTGGAATGAGATGAACTTGACTAGGTGTGTATGTATCATGAGAGGAAGCTTTGTAGGGAGGTAGCTTCTGAAACTGGGCCCCTCAAAAAGAGAGAGTTTGGCCTATGGAGAATTTAGGAAGGGTCTCAGAGAGCTGGAGGTGGGTGTGTGGGTGGGTGGATTTGTGAAAGTCTGGGGAACCGTCAAGTGCTTGTCTTCTCAGTGCTCTCAGGGACCCAGATGGACCCCCAAGAACGATGGGGTAGAGTTAGAGCTTTGGAGAGATGCTAGCTGTGATTGCAAGCTGCCCAGCAGCACTGCCTCAGCTAGAGGTGGAACACGCAAACGAGCTGAACATACATGTCCAACGTCTTTACACACTGCATTTCGTGCTTTCTAGAAGTCTCTTGATTGCAAGATACATCATTCTTTTATGTGCTTCCCGGAAAATACTGCTGCCAGTTCAATGATGACGTACCATCAATCGTAAAATGCTCCTCCATTTCAGTGATATTTCAGAAGATTGCATCTAGAACCAGTAAAATACCGTGCATTAAGAAAAAGTCAATTTTGCTGCCTCACCACCTGTACGTAAAACATATGGTCTCTTTTTCCAGTAAAAAATGATACAGAGTTTGTCCTTTAGGCATGTGCCAGGGAGCCCCGTGATGAACCAACAGCCTTTTAGCACTTGTCAAAAGATAGGAGTGATATCTAAAAAAGAGATTGATCTATTCCTCAGTCAGTGTTTATCAAGCAACTAGTATGTGTCAGTTACGGGGAGCTGCGCTAGCTTGAGGTCGGGAAGAGCTGGGCTGGTTCGAGGAGCCAGAACAGGCCAGGGTGGCCGGAGGACGGTGGGTGAGCAGGGGCGACGGGGGTGAGGGGGACCACTCACGGAGAGGCATGGATTGGGGTACGGGGTTGAGGTTCGATTCTAAGAGCAACAGAGAGCTAGACGGGTATTGAGCAGTGGAGACACGTGATCCCACCCGCAGTGGCTGCTGTCTGGAGAGCAGACTGGAAGGAGGACAGCGGAGAAGCAAGGGTCCCGTTAGATGTTGCTGACGTGGACGGGGGGTGGCATTGGGCGTGGAGAGAAGGAGATGGAGTTGAGATATATTTGGGGGCCAGGACGCCATGCCGAGCAGCTCCAGGGGCACTAGTTGTATCCTCGGCCATCCGTGCAGTCGGGCAGGGCGCC